ATATTGCTCCAGAAAACGACAATATTGTAAGCAAAATGGACGTCTGATGGGTATTCTGTTGAGGAGTATGCCGCTTTTGTTCCCATCCAGCAACTTCATTACTAACTGCGATGCGGTGGTTAATAGCCTTGGTAGGATAGTGTTGGCCTCGTGGATCTGTATTCGCGGAGGAATGGTGAGGACTAGACGGAAAAGCGCTAATTTTGGAGCAGCATCGATAACAGGAGGGTAGGCATTTTATGCAGGTAGGATAACTCTTTACCCTTGGCCAACGAGCACTGATGCAGTGGCATTTATATTGATGTTTTCAAGCGCTTTTCCATGCCTGACAAAGCTTAACATGGGATGTAACTATGGATGAAATTATGTGGCAACAACTATGATTTAGATGTGATCTACGGAGTAGAATCCTCATCGGAATTCTATTGACCGGGTGGACACCACTCAGTGTTCGTGGAATAAACGGTCTGAGGAGCTTATAGAACATAGTGGACAAGACAATTAGACGGTAGTTCTAATGTTCCTTTCGGCCATCTTTCTTGGATATGATGGCTATTTGGACGTTCCCAACTAATTAGAAATCCATTCTGTTTTAGCAAAAAATTGGAACTAGGATCTCACACAGTAAAATTGGGGGTGGATTTTCTTCTGGCGGAATCTTGTGACCTAAAGAGAGGTTTGTGAATTTGGAAAGAATGGATGTTTTCTTCGTTAACATATTATGTTCAGGGCATTAGCAATCCATCACCGTTCAACAGGGTTGAAAACAGAAGAATATGTTCGTATTAATCCAACCGGCAATTCTTCAATAGCTTCTGTTTTGAAGTTTCTGAACAGACTTCTTTTGTCTATGTCGCTCTAGGTCATCTTGCAAAGATTTTCGTCAGATGAAATTTCCCAGTCGTATTAGGCATGTTCATTCGGATCTAGTGTTTTCTTTTCGTCCCAATCAACTTGTTATTGGTTCTAGAGTGTAGTGTACACTCTCAACCTAATGAGTAAAGGTCCATTCGGTGAAGATTATGTCACGCCTTAGGCCAGAATCTCCCTGATCTACCAGTCATATGTGGAAAGATGTCTCTTCAGAATGTCCTTGTCACATACTACATGCTTTTTCTTGTTGAACGATAACAGCAGTAATGATTCTGTTCTAGCGTAAAGCTGAATCGGACACCAAGACGTGCCAAGAAGGAACTATTCTGTTTATGAGGATATGATAAATATCGGCACGTCATTTCGTAAAGTCATTCCCAGGTTTTGTGGCCATTTTGCTTTCTCTCTGATAAGAAAAAAAATGTTAAAACAGCTCGATTCTAATAATACTTACTCACTTGATACTTGAATAGCCCATCCTCACTAGTTGTGAGAGCCCCAGCAAAATCTGAGTTTTTCGGAGATTTACTGGCTAAGCCATTGTCGTTCCCTGGAATCCCGAGGTCAGCCTGGACAAAGTCTGTCCCAGGTCTTCAACACCATAGGCAGTCGCAGCTCTTGTGGATCAGAAGGAGATTTGCCACCATGTGACCTTGATACCAGGACGGTGGTGGATCCTGGTACTCGTTTACTTTCAGCCAGGCTTTCTGATGGAAACGCCGGACTCCTTCTCAGCCTGGGAGATCTTGTCAGGAGATTAATCCCCTGCTGCACATCGCAGTCCTACACCCAGGAACGCCCAGCCACGATGAGGCGGTAAGCCGTTGGGAGGCGATTCTAATGATGTCCTATGAAACCTGAGATCTCATTATTCAACGTAATAGAGCGTAAATTTTGCGATTCTAGCCTATTGCTAAGTCGGTTGTCTGTGATTTTTCCTGAAGTGTTGAGCCAGGTATGACAACGTCTTCTCGGGATGCCATTAAAAGTGGGCCAGCATCCTTCGTGTACCGGACGGAAGTTTCCCATTTTGACGTAATGATTCTTTGCACTAATTTAGCTATAACTGGACTCCCTAATGGAGGTTTTGAACTCACTTGTATAGTAAATCCTGGTTGGTGGATGAATCCACCGCTCAACAGCGCAGTTCAACACCCATAAACACTCCCAGACATGATGACACTATAAACCATTTGGTGGAATGTGGAAGTAAATTTCAGATCTCTGTACACCTAGACTCATCCCAGTATTGTAGCGATGTTTCCATATCATTCAAAAACACTAAGGACATAATATGCTTCTCTTGTAGTGTGAATTTCTGTTTTTTTTTGACTGGTTCACTAATCTAAACTGGTTGTTTATTGGAAACGGTACTTTTCCACAGATATTTAGCCGTTGTTTCGATTTCCAATTTAGTGCATTTAACTTTCAGTTACTGCCAATTCTTTCTTCATGGCATGGTACTATGTGAAATGTGACGAGAAGGAGGCTAAAATATGAGCAAAACTCAGAACCTCAATTGGGCTTCGAGCCTACGACTACCCTGACTGGGGCTCCACGCTATCCACCACACCACCTAAGGCTCTTTATTTGCCTTTCTCTCGACCACTTTCTAATCATAGCTCAGTGTTTTCAACGTAAAACACTTCACTGCGCTAAAATAGCGCCGATCTTTCATATGTTGTCATTCAATTGTTCACGAAGGAGCGCTGAGCAATACACGACGACATTACGCTAAATAAAGCGGAATGAGTGGCATTATACAAAGAAACGTCCGGAAACAAAATTGCTTCGTTTCGAATCACCACCTCGCAGAAATTTATGCTTAATGGGAAAGTTGTTCAAGGAAAAAAACAAACGTCATGATCAAGGCCGGTGCAGTAAGTTGCCGAACTTGTGTCCACGCTAGGCGACTCACCGGCTTCGCTGACGGTCGCACGCGCAGCGGTCGCGTCGCGGCTCCGTACATTCAAACGACTGGCCGAATATGGTCATTTGATGGCGGCTTGTGCAAATGAATCCCTCGAGACGGGAGAAATTTGCGAGCAGATCACCGAAATCGTCGTTCCGTCCTTCGTGGCCTGTCGATCATCTCGCTTACGAGCAGCCTAAAGAATCATGGAAAACCATAGAATAATTGTCAGATGTCACTTCATCGATGCATTTACAACTAGCCTAGCCAGTAAAGATGAAAATCCGAGTGCTTACAAATCCTTCTTTGGCACAATCCACTGGAAGAGGGTGAATTTCGCGTCTCGTCATTTATCAGCTTCTCATCAGTACGCACTGCAGTTGTAAAAATAGCCCAAGAAATTGATAACTGATATCTTTGGTACGTCATAACATTTCGTTAACATCGTATACCATCCGAGCTTCTATCGAAAATCTTTATATCTATCTAAAGCATACTGATGACTTTACCCTTCTTTTGACGATTTTGTCTAGTGAAATTTTCTACAAAGTATTTTTTTTTGTCCATACCGTTCTCAGTTCTATTTCACCCAAAAATTTCCATCTAGTCTAAGTTTCACTCCGGCGGAATACGTTAAGCTTAAAATTCGCGATTTTCTTTCATTCAACGGTATTTTCCAGTGTTAAAGACTTCCTCGTTGAATTCATTCTACTAAATTAGCGTTGAGTATGCAATTTACCTTATCACCTATCTAATAAAGTCGCCAAACTTTTGCTATTTGTCTTGAAAAGGAAAACCAAAACGACGATTCTGATTGATCCTCGATATTATTCGATCTGATTCAGGTTGTTCATATTCTAATATAACATAAATACCGTGTCTGAATTGCAAATCAAATCTTGCTACCACTATACAGTAACCTTTCCCACGATTTGCTACTGTCTGTTGAAGTCTTGGATAACTCTCTAATCTAAGCCAGTCTGTTCGTATGCCCCATGGACATGCAATTTTGACAAGTAAAAGGTTAAAGGATAAAACTTCGGCGTTCAGCAATCCTTAAGGTGTGTACCATACATTCAACTTCATCAAATATCGTCTGAGGTGATGGGATGGATATTTGGCCTGTACAATGACCTTCAGTGGCCTACCGACATATCAAGGGAGTACTGCGATCCTCTCAGACAGATCCGGTACTAATTTTTCGAACTCAGAAGGATAGAAGGTTTGTCGAGCCAAGGGCGTGAGATCGAACTAACGACTACGTGTGGTTATAGGGCACATCTCTAACGACTGCGCTTACGTGTCTCAATTCGGGCAAATAATCTCGTCACTGTATCTGTTTTAGTTCGACTACAAAAATTGTACTCCGTTGAACGTGATGGATGTTTTTAATGATGAAGGAAATCTCTTTCGAACATTCGTTGCATGTCGCGTGTGGGAACAATACATTTCCCAAATTATCAAGCCACTTTCACTTTTCTGCACCGGTCTCTTTTTGAACAACTCTCTTGATTCCTTCTATCATTGACGGCGATTGTTCTAACGCTACACAAAATCTATATCGGCAAAGCAAAGCAAAGCGCTTTATAGGTTTGTATATGACAACTGAAGTATGTTATCTGGTCTACCAGGTCCAATGGATGTTCTCTCTATAATGTCAACGCAGTAGTGATGTGTTCGTGCTTAAGTTGTAAATAGGTTTCTTGGAAATGAGTGAGCTTCCTCTCGTAATCAATTAGGATTGTCTTTTCCGTTGTAACCGTAAAGAAAACTCGTTAGCTTAACTGCTATGATTTCTATTCTATAAACACAGTCGTAAAATTATGATCTTTGGTCTTCTAGAATTCTCTGTGCGTCGTGTACTCTGATTAGATCTTTACACTATGTTGACCTCAAGAATGTAAACCTAGTAGAAACTGGTTTAAACATAAAATGTTAGCTGATTCTTATCAAACCTGTGAAATACCTAGCATTTAGGTAGACATTTAATCAATTTGTCAACTTTTGAACTTGGATTAATAGTTCATCAAAGAGTGTTCGTTCCATCATCAAGATCCTCCTACATGATGCTCATTTAACCATACACACTGTGCACAGAAAATAGTACCGTATTCTTTAAAATGCTAGTTGATAACCAGGTTAGAATCGTCTGCAGTTCGTTCTAGCGTTAGAGGTTTCATTTTTGACGACATGCGTACAGAATCCTCTTTTGTTGATGGATGATATGCGACACGACGACGTGATGACGACGAGATGCGACGTTGCGCACAGTTGTCGAGTGTATGGTGGTGTTGGTGCGCAGCAAAAATCGTCGGAGGCCGATGCGCGCGCAGCATTTGACGATGGGGCAATGGTGAGTTCGTGGTCGAAGATGATAACGACGACGACGTCGATGATGACAACCACGAAGATGATGGCGACGACAGCAGCGAAGACGATGGCGAAAATCATGCCGCCGACGGCGACGGAGATGATGACGATGACAACACATCAGCGAACCAGCCATCCAACCGGCCACGCCAGTCTGTCAACCTGCCTGTGCGACTGACCGACCGTTTCTATCTCGCAATCGCCCATTGTCCGGTGAGTGCGCAATGTTTTTGCTGATGTGGACGGACAACGCGCACATCTAACAATCTTTCAAAGTGAATCGTCTGATTCCCTTTCTAATGTAACATCGTAGAAAAGCGAGCTTTTCTTCCCAGGTTTTTTCTGCGCATTCAATTTCATTAACGTTCTTCACTCATTATTCTACTCCATACTTTTTCCACTTACGACGGTAATGAGTTTTTACTGTTCTATGTAAATTATCACTGTATAGATTTTTCTTGGACACTTCTCACTCTTGCATAACCAATTGAAATATTCAACGGTTACATACCATTGGCTTATTTCCGTTAACGTCATCAATTCCTTATTCTATAGCAACTGCTTTAGTCGAGTAACAGCGTCGATCGTTCACTTTCACGGTCGCCCTTTTGTGTCCTCGTTCTTCTCTTCTAAGAAATGGACCGAAATCCCTGCTCAATCAATGGCCATGCTATTCTTAGGAAGTGTTCATAACTCATGTTCGCTCTATTTCTGGAGAAATGAGTTATTTTTGAACTGTTAGTGGTCATCGATATAGTGTTTGCTTTCTCTATTACTACATAGAAGGTTAAGCTGTCGGCCTTACCTTCCAGCAGTGCAATATCCAGACTCAGCTTAACATTGAATCTTTTCTGTAATTGTTTACATGACGTTTAAATTTTTGCGCAGCCCACCTTATAGCTTTCATATCAGTTATTTTTATACATGCTACATCATTTAACATTTTTCGACGAAAAGTCTCCTTAGTAAATGGTACTATCAGCCAAATAGAAATTGTTAGCCGTTGTCGTAAGGGTGGAAACGAAGTGCGAAAACGGATTCGAATCTTTGGAAATCCTTAACTAAATTTAGATATCCGTTTTATTCTAGTCTAATAGGCTATCATGCTTTCATACGTTCATATCTTCTTGTATTTTTTTTTTCCACTTTGCTTACCTATTAATCATGTTTTGAGAGTAAACACAGGCAGTTCAACTGTTCTCAATCACGACGTGTTTTGTTCCTTGATTATACATGAACGCCTACATTTTTTTGGTGAGTAGTTTTGTTGCAGTTATTGCTTTTAGATGAAAATAGTCCAGTTAAATCTTAGCGAACATCGGCGTAAAATTAGCGTTGTCCACGCATAGCTGAAAATTTATATCGTAAAATTTCGTGAGACCTGTCGTTTAGAGCTGTCACTAGAACCTACTTAGAACTTGGATACTTAAACGTCCTATCCAAACATGTCCGGCGGGCTACCATACTCCATCCATTGTTTTCGGTATCTCGCAACTGTCCTCCAAGGAGGTGGTTGGAATGGTATTTAGGCCTTAGTACGGCTTGAAAATTTCTTGTCTTTCCTCCTCACCAATATATTGAAAGGTGGTAATACTTTAATCTTTCCTTTAATCCTGGAACAGGTAAGATGCGTTATCAATATTTCTAGATCTTGACCACTCGCTGTCAGCATCTTTTTGAGATCCGAAGGAAATTCGCTGCTTTAGGCTCTTTTTGAGTGCTAACGACTGTTGTGACAGCAGTGGTTACTGAAATTATTCATCTTAGCGACGGGAAATGGTGTATCGAGTTGAATCTGTTATCACCATTACCACTCTCGATTGTAATCCCATTAGTCATCGAAGACCTAGAGTAGTGCCAGTCAACTCCATTTCTCTTCGCTGCAAGTAGAGCTAGTCAGTGGCCGCTGCTTGCCGAAGGGCCACCGAGATCGTTCCACGTTGTAGACGATGTTGGAAACATTTACTGGAGGCTCGCTGGCCTCTAACATGCTACAGGTTTACTCTTCGTTGAGCATACTGACGGGATTATTAAATTCCTACGCTCTGTCAGAAGAGATATGCGACTTGCCCGCGGTTACTAACCTTCCATAGAAGTACTCCTCGTTTATTTGTATCCTAGAATTCGGCCGAATCATCCGAATTATTGCAAATGGTGCAATCCATGTGCGTCAAATCACAAACCTATGTGCACCATTATGTGAATTCATTGATATGACCACGCCTACAACAAAGACAAGAATTTCATCGCTTTAATAAACCTACTCCTTAATGCAAGTGCATTACCACTTTTGGTCTGTGTTTAATCCTCTATTCACCGCAAAAAATACGTCGGGTAGATTGGCGGCTAACTAGTACGAAATCCCTCACATGAAGAAGGTCTGTAAATTTACAACTACGCGACGAATCACGGTGTCAAATGTGAAGTGATTTAGGTCGCTTCTTCTACAAGGTGTTCGTTTTAGGAGGTCATTTATCAGGAGTTTTTCGGATAAAAAACGTTTTATTGACATAATAAGAAGAATAACGTCTGCAATTTTGACGTTTAGAACATTTTTTCTCAAAATGAATCTTCTTTTGTCGGTTAAAATCTTTTCTTTCGTCTGTTAACTTCTTCACTACGATTTGGCTCGTCAATTTATGCCATTTGGTATTTCTAAGGTGGTGTTACAGAAGCTTGTTTGTGTTTTCTTGCTAGTTGCTAGTTAATGATGTCCACCCCAGCTGAAGATACTGTCATTCTTGTCTTTATAACAAATTTTGTTTCTTTCTTATCCTCAGTTCGGGTATTTCTGACGAATCCATTCATTCAATGAATGAATTCTCTTTGATAGAATATCATTATCAAATCATTGTTCGTCCATTCAGAAAAATATCCTTCAGCTCTTTAAGCGGCACAACAAATCGATAATCATGATTTGTTTTCATCCTTTTTCTTTGTGAGTATAGTTGTTATCGATATTTTTTGCTATTTACGAATTTTTCTCGGAAAACCGTGTGTTATTTGAAAGCTAGACCTTTACGCTATACAAGAATATTATGAAACTTTCTATTCTTTATTCTTTTGAAACACATTTCTTTGCTCGTAACCTGTCCGATTGTTGTTAATCAAAATATTATGTAGTTATATTTTTGTTTTTGCATTGATTTCTTGGACATTCATAGATGGAGGACAAGAGATTAAAACACTGAGTAGGGAGTTGAAAAAGCGTCCAGTGTTGATCAACTTGGATTGATTGCCCAATGCACTCGACTCCATTCGCAGCATTACAGTGTGGATTGAATGCATATTTGGCCAGCACAACGATATCCTACTGATGTACCAAGTCATCTTTCCAGAAAAATCCGGAATTCATTTGCTGATCCTGGATGGATGGAGGGCTTGGTAAGACCTGGGTGTAGGATCCGACCGACTCACATAACTACGTTGTAGGGCTCCCATTACCACTGATACTGAGCAGACCTGTGACCTTGCCAATGCATACTTGCACTTCTTTAAATGAATTCGGTGTCATTTTAAGACCATCACAGTAATTCGCTGGTGAACCACTCGCTAGATAACACATCTCCAATCTGCACTCCTGGCCAGCCAAAGCTAAATCTCCTCGCCGAAAACTTAAGAGCACATCTAGGGGAAATGAAACACTTCATTGCTTAGTGTTGCAAGTTACTGTATAACTAAGATTTTGAATTAGGGCGTTGGCCGAAGGTTGTCATCGTTCTAAATCTTAGTGGATGTGAATCGCTATCTCTAATTTTTAGAGTTGTTTTCGTTTTCTTTTTCTTTTGCCAAAAAACTCTGGTGCTCAATTATTTTTTCTGTCATCAATGAGGCATTCATGACATTGATATTATTCGTTCCGTGATCTTGCCACTGTCACATAAGATAGTCGAGCTTATATGTCGTTTCGAATCACGTTTTAGTTATTATTTTCTCTCATCAGTATATTGAACGTTGTTAGGTGGTTTTCTCTGGAAACCTGAGATAGCTCTTCATCCTAGACATTACCCAGCTGTTTTGAATAAGAGGGAGGTTTATGGCCTCGCGAGTTTAAGTATTTCAAGAACACAGCAATTCCTGTGGAGACAGCGAACCTTTTAATTAGTCAACTCACCCATGTAGGGCGGTGTGACATGATGAGTCACTCAGTAAAATTGTCCTATCCAAAATTTCACAATGCTTTTAAACCCACTCGCTTTTTGATCAACAAAACCACGCATTCTACTGTGAGTGTTTGTATGTGTAACGGCCGCTACTTTGTAGGAATTTGCCATGGACGTAGTGTTAATTCATTAAATCCATTCTGAGTTCTTTTGTTAACATTTTGGTTTGGTTTTCTTCTTGCGGCAGTTAACGATGTTCTAGCAAACGTTAGAAAACTGTTCGCTTCAAACAACAGTTTGTGGGCACCACTAAATTACAGTCGTGTTGTTAGAACTGACACATTGACCAGATTCTGTCACAGTTGCGGTCATCATGAAACTGTTTTCAAATATGTGCTAATAACTGAGAGTTATTTAAAGGTGGCTAAAATGTTCTTTCAGAAATGGCCGCATGGTATCTCCATAACGAATTTCCTGTCCTGTCTCTTACTCTTTCGTTTACTTATTTAATTCATTGTGTGTGTGTGTGTGTGTGTGTGTGTGTGTGTGTGTGTGTGTGTGTGGTGTGTATGTGGTGTATGTAATGTGTGTGTGGTGTGTGTGTGATCCTTGATGAGGAAACTATTCACGTTGCTCGAAATCCTGACGTTTAAGGTTTTTTCGATTCTGGAGGTTTTTGTGTCAACTCACCGTAGCACGAAAGCTAGTTGTCCGCGAAGTGCCTACCATTCCAGCGCTGTCAAGCGGAACGGCTTCTGCCTTGTTTTCAGCGAAATTCATTTTGAAAAACTTTCCTATGAAACTTGAATACTTTGAGCGCTTTGTACATCTCAATTATCAATCGAGTTTTTCAAATCCATGATTACTTTGCAGGAAAATTTTCCGTGAGAGTTTCGTTTGCGTTCGTCAACAAATTTTATATTCGCCGCTGTGTCGTTATTGAATTTTTACATATCTTTCTTTCACTTGTACGAAATATCCAATCCACACCCGAAAATCGGTATCTCCGTTACTGTTTTACTTTCTTTTTTTCGCTTAGATTATGCAGAAATTGAGATATTTTTCAAACTCCGGA